AACCGCTACAAAGTAAGTGCTTGAAAATGTAAAATAACTTTATAGCTGGTTTCTATCCAGCTTTAATTAGAATATGTGGCAGGAGCAAGTAATAAATAAACCTAATGCACATGTGTGGCAGTGCACCTTTGGGTGCCTGCCACTTTAAGGGCTGGAGGCAGGCAGCTAGCAGGTGCTTGATTAAGGCAGCCATTTTCAAACTTTGGCAAGACAGGCAGAGGTAGCAGTTTCCTACCAGCTGCCAAGGCAGTAACATCAGCTGGCTGAGCTAGAAGATCTTGGAGGGAAGAGCAGGAGCTATGGGGATGGTTGGAGGCTCCTGGTACTGGGCATGACCTGAAACTGCACCCTGCCAGGGATGGGTGGCCTGGTGGGGCTGTTCATCATGGAACAACCCTCAAGAAATGCCAGGCCAGTTGGTGAAAGGTGGGTAGGGGCACCTTAACCCTGGCCTCTACCATCTGGTGGGTAGTGATGAGAGCAGTAGGAGCAGTGTGGGCCAGGTGTGCTAATAATGAGGCACCTGAGCCCAGCAGGGGTGTGAGATTCCAGAGGCCCCAGAGGGGTAGTTCGTTGTGTGTAGTTTGAGGGCCCAATCACAGTAGGGTGCAACTGGGGTACCTGAAATACTGTGCTAGTGGGGTTCAGAGTAGGGCTGCAGAGGACAGCTTGAAGGACTGCACCAGGGGTGTACCGAGTACAGCTGCATGGGCGGCTTGAAGTGGTACATGGGCCAACCCCAAGTGTGTGTGTGCGAAACCAATTGCCTGGTGGGTTGGAGCAGAAGCAGCCCAGCATTGGCACAGGGTGACACCATGCAGAGTGGGTGAACTCGTGGGATCCAAAGTTGCTGTGTGGTAGTGTCAGAGAGAGAGTAGCCAAACCCGAAGGCCCAAAGGGGTTGCTCAAGGACAGCAAGGGCAGTTGAGAGTGGCCCAATAATGGGCGGTATGTTAAAGGCTTCTGTGAGAGGGGGGCAGAATGCAAGAAGCCCCTGTGAGAGAGGGGCAGTGTATGCGAGTGTGTATGAAAGAGACCAACAAAGGACTGAGTTTGTCCCAGCCTCAGACCGGGGAGCAGTACCAAGGTGGATGCCATCTGTGAGGCATGGGCCACGGTGTAGGGGAGTTACGGGGCCATGGGTAGCACCCCCTGGCATTGGGCCAATGAATGGGCAGCCTCCCTCTTAATATATCATGGTAACATTAAAGTCATGGCAGGTAAGTCAGGGCAGAATGCCCTACGTAGGTGGGTGGGCTAACTCGAGATCTAGCCCCAGGAAGGCATGTCTCTTAGTAGTGTCTGAGCTCAGCAAATAAAGGAGGCTATTTGTTCATGACAGCAAGCGGAGGTGCCCAGGGCTTTTGCTTGGACCACTGAATGTTCTGAATGTGCTGAGATATTCAATTCAAGGTGATGGCCATGCTAATTCAGAATGGGTTCCTTTTCAGTCTTTAGGGTCTGCGATATACGGGGGGGGGGGGGGGG